AAAGGAAGCAAATTTTTTGTGTGTTTGTTACCGAGAAATCTACTACTACCTGCTAATTTTATTTAGTGTATTTTAATATTGTGTTAATGATGCCTTGTCTTTTGTATTGATTATTATTTGGTGGTAATCTGACGCTACGTTCTGGAGACTAAAACTTGTCTAAATATGGAGAACCATTCTCCATGCCAAAGATTCGTTTCGATGCTTACCCTGCATTCAAATGCACAAAGGTGTATCCCTACAAACGGATACTTCTACTTTTAGATACTGGCTGTCTATTTGCTGACAACTTCAGCAAAAGATATGACCAAGGAGGAGGTGAAGAAAAGCCCGCATCTCAATGGAACTGTCATAAGTGATAACAAATCGGCCAATTCAAATAGTGGAAATCAGGCACTGATCATTGTGAGCATCGTTATACAAGTCGTGGCCATTCTTTTTGGCATCGCCATGATCACTGTTGCGGTTATGGACCAACCAAAGTACAGAAAAGTCTTGCTTGGTTGGGTTGCATGGACTTGCGCATCAGTGGTTATAATGATCATCGTAACAATCGTAAGGGCACTTACAGAAGTCATTTTGTGGATTGAAATCCTGATTACACTCTTCCTTGCTGTCTACCTCACATGCTGTATGTGGTTTGTTATGTCATATTATAAGATGCTGGAATGATTGCGAATAAGTTTCCTGATCAGAATAGTGTGTTTGGAAATTAGAGTGCTGTCGAGTTAAAAGCCTATATAGGAGAAGATCTTCTTGAATTTACTTCTCAACAAGACATATCTGCTATCGAAATTATATCATCAATATATTGCTTTAGTTTTTTAACTAGTGACTAAATATAAATAATTGTAAGAGGCCGTTACAGGTATCTAGAATATGCATATCGGTATTTGGCCTTCTATCAACGGTATTCGGCATTAGAAATTCATGTATAGTAGTTATACGACTGCAAGTATGTTTTACTCGCTAGCAAAAATGTATGTTGTTTTTATATTTGGTATCCACAAAGTATGTTAAACTCCCAATTATGCAAACTGGAACTTCACGTCTACTGCAACTACTGCAACGGTTCGTTAAAACCCCAGCACTGCTTTACCCTGCGCTTCTTGGTGAAATTGCTTAAAGAGACTGTAGAGTCTCTAAGACTCGCGCGTACTTCTTTTCACACTTTACTGTCTCTCACATGCATTGCCACTGACTGCCTAAAGCCGCATTTACACGAGCAATTTTACTTTGGCAATTTTCCTTGACAATTATCTTTTGCCCGAGTAGATTATAAACAAGTTTTGTTTGACAATTCTACATATTTCGTGAAGAAAGATGAAAAATCTCATTGACAAACTGCGTTATGGCAAGCGGAGTTTATAGGTTAGTTTCGGTTTTCAAACGGGGCGCACGTAGCATGAGCTAAAATGGCTCCTTTAACAGTGAAGGAACTTTTATTCGTGTGTGGGACAGCTGCAGCACTACTAATGTACAATAAATCTAAGAAAAAAAGACAGTGAAGTGGCGGGTTCAGCCTTGGGCGAGCCATCGTCGCAGGCAGAACAAAGGATTAGCAGGAAACTTGATTAGAGAACTGAGACTCACAGTCCCAGGCAGTTTCCAGAATTTTTTCTAGTAAGTCCAACGGTTAAAATTTTTTGTTTGGAATCTTCGAAAATTTATTGGAAATCTAAGCAGGCAATAATGTTTCATTGGTGTACAAATTTTTGAACTATCTGCCTGTTGCATTTCAAAGGCTTTCACGGCTTTGCAGAACTTCTATGAGCTTTAACGTTCCTTGAATGGTCCAGATTAACCTCGTGGCGGCCATGACAGCCAAGAACAAGCAATTACTTGCGCGGAAAGAAGGGTCTGGAATTGAGTCAAACTTATCAAGTTTACGTGTCAAGTCATCTACACGGGCAAGTTTTGCATATGATAATTTTCTACTTGTCAAGTATACTTGCTGAAAAACTGGCACGCCAGCTTCTGCTGTTGTTGTTGTTGTTGTTGTTGTAAATTTATTTTAATTCGATATAAAAACAATAGCTAACAATATACCCATAAATAATAATGTTAACTAATGAAAATCGAGCATCGCTACCAATTAGTACATTAAAGTAATTATAGATACTAAGTTAAAGATTAATTTGCATTTACTGGCAGAAGCTGACGGGCACTACATTTGCAAATCGGTCCGTCCTATCATTTTATTAGATTCTTAAAACTTTTCAAATTTCTGCGGATTTCAGATCGTTGGGTGCCTTCCAAATCTGTGGCCCGATTGACATAACACTTTTGGACCCAAATGTTGTTTGATTAGGTCTAACATGGGCTAAGTTATTTGCACTTCTTAATGAATAATTTGACGAATGTAATTTAAAAATACTCTGCATAAAAGGTGGGTTCAGCCGTTTTACTGTTTTGAATATTTAAATGCACAGAATTCTTTGATAAGCAACGAGCATCGTGCATTTGTCTGACTTCACAAGCAGATCGTTATACGAACTTGTATGATCATTTTCTTTAGAGAAATTTTAGGGCGCGTTCTTGTATCTGTTCAATTTCCTGTAATGATATTAGAAGATTTGTGTTGTTTTTCTTAAGAATTGTAGCATGAAATTTTTCAGAGTTTGCAATCGTTTCATTTTGTTCTAACCACGATAAGGCAATTCCCGTTTTTTTTGCAAAAAAATCGCGCATGTTTTTAGAAAAATAAGCAAGTGTATTGTCGTTTGCATAATTTTAGAGCGTTGCTTGTTTTATGAATAGAAATAAGTCATTTATGTAAAAATCGAACAGGACTGGTCCTAGCACAGAGCCCTGGGGTACACCAGACATAACCTCTTGAAAAGAACTGTATGAATTATTTATCCGAACACACGGTTTTCGTCTTTTGAGATAGAAATAAATTAGAACTAGAGCATCTTCATTAAATCCATACGCATGTAGTTTGGCGATAAGCAAATCCTGTGGGATACAATCGAAAGCTTTCGAAAGATCCATTAAGACTCCACCAACGAGATATTCATTGTCAAGGCTAGTCTTCCAGTCCTCTATTAAACGTATCAAAACATGCTGGGTTGCATACGTTTGTCGATACGCAGCAATGAAGACTGAAAGTGTATAATCTAAATGTTGAACCAATTGATCTTTTAGGATTTTTCCGTATATCTTTGAAAAGGCATTGAAAACACTCACTGGGCGGAAGTTTTTTTCTAATTTACGATTTGATTCCCCTTTATCTAGTGAGCAAACTGCCGCTTTTTTGCATCGTTTGGGAAACGGAAATTTCGAATGCTACAGTTTATTGCCGTAGTTAAAGTATTTGTAAGTTCATTTGCAGCTACAAGCTTTGGGGGAATTTAATCTTCACCAGTAGATGACCTGCCATCCAAGGATTTTAATAGTTTTGCAACTTCTTGATTGCCTATCTCTTGAAAAGTGAAAGTAGCCAGGACTTGCTTTGGGCTTTGAGTATCAGCTAGGACACTAGGATGGTTTTTATACTTATCAAGAATCAAGCGAACGATTTGGCGGTCGTCAGAAATTCCAGTATTTTTGCAAGGCTAATGGGCTTCTTACCGCTGGATTTTTCTACTATATTTATAAAATGATCATTCAAAGTTTCTGTCAGTTCTTGGTCATCTGTTATGACGGTATCATTTTTCACAAGAGAAATATCGCTGGTTATAAGTCCTCCTTTATTTGAAAGAAAGGGTTTAACAAGATCCCATAATTCTTTATTAAACATTGTTCCATGTCTAGTTGCTTCCTTAAAATGATTTTTAATCGCCTTCCGTCTTTAAGAGACACATTTATTTCTTTGCTTCTTGAAATTAATTCCATTTTCTACGGTAGGGTTCTTTTTTTAGGCTTGATCTAGTATAAATTGCCTTTTGCAATTGCTGATTCATGAAAGGGGCAGTATTTCCATTCAGAACTTTCGTTTTTAAGCATGTTGTTGTCTACAACTTTTCGTAAGGTAAACGAAAGATTCTTGCATCATTTAAATAATTTAGCTGATTGAGTTTTCTGGAGTTTAAACATCTGAGCAATCAATATTTTTTTCTATCCTAGAATAGGAAGGAGCGAATCAAAGTTTTGAATGGGCCTTTAATGGACACATTATGAAGGTCCAAATCATGGTTTTTTAGCCTGTGATCCAGACCCCTGATTTCACGTTTTGTCAACTTAAAATTGGGAAGCGATTTACGTTTTCTAAGAAAAATTCAAAGAATTGATAGGGAAAACGGAATCTGAGATTCCAAACTCCACCACCCTGTTCCAAAGTTACCAGCTTCAAAATTAGATCATCACACAAAAGAGAAATATAACAGACTTCTATTCATTGGTTATTGCTAGGCAAGAGAGAGGGGGGAGGGACTGTGTGATAAGTATATAAACAAATATGGCGTATTGATGCATAGATATGAAATTTATATCAAAGTTGTATTGACACTTCAACTATGTCAGTATCCAAATTTATATCTAGACCTATATTTATCTTTATTTTTCAGTGGCGGAAATTTCGGGTGTGTGTGTGTTGGGGGGGGGGCAACCGCCCCCAATTTTTGCCAAATTGTCGGTTTTGTTGGTAAAATTATGCCATTTGTCGGCAAATTTGCTTGCTTTTGTGGGCATTGCCCCCCTCCACTTGAAAAAAGAATTTCCGCCATTGCTATTTTTGTATCTATATTCCTTGTATATCAGCATCTACTCCTTATTGTACAAAGTAGGAAGGCTCGAAATAGCTGATCTGTGTTGAGGGCTCTTGAAATTTGAGGAGAGGACCATGTTGAAGCTTAACAATAAAAAGTTCGACAAAAGAGGACACGACTTAAAGCGAATGGTAGAACACTTTCCCCCCTTCCTACAGGTCCAACTTTACGAGTTTCACCTTTTTTCATTATACATTCCAGGGCCCGCGCCACGTAATTGAAAGTGGGGGGGGGGGCAAGGCTAAAAAATAGGGGCCAAGGCTTCTTACCCTTTTACTGCAGCTTTAAAACTACTTGCTTTGCAAAAAAGGGGGGCATGACCACCCCAGCCCCCCGGTGGTGTGGGCCCTGCATTCGTTTCTTTTTGTGAATTTTGATTTAGCTTCTCTCGAAACGTATCATATGTTTGAATATCATGATTTTCAATTTCAATTTCTAAAATTAATGAAGGTAAATAGGGTAAATGGATAATTTTTTCCAATGTCATCATTGGCCTCGTCTTGGAAACCAGGTCACAGCGCAACAGGAACATAGTGACACAGATAGTGAACAGTGTACAGGTAGGAGGCGTAACCGTAACGAAAGGCCAGCTAACAACAATTCATGCTCAATTTATGAAGATAAAGAAGATAAAATGGTTCGCTACGCCAAGTCCTGCTGTTGCTTCCCACTTCGTTATGGAGTCATCCTGGTTGCAGCAGTCGACATCGTAAGTAGCCTGTTGCAATTATTATGGTCCGAATGTCTATTTGAATGTCTAAACGAATGTCGCACGCTAAATAGCGAAACTCCCCCTTTGGCTGGAGCCCCCCCCAAATAATTGTCAAACTGTAGTATGTTTCCTTTATAACAGTGTACTGAATGGGAAGGAGAACAATGGGCAGCCCCCCCCCAAATATGAATTTCGTTCCGAAGGCACTGGTCCTGTATACCTGTTTAGGTTTTGGGTTTGGAGAATCAAAGGGCATAAATATGGGTGGTCCTCTTGACTATTGCTCAGGAACCAGTATGCGGAGAATTTTTTTTGAACAATTGAATTCAAACTGAACTTCTGTATGTTTCTATCATTTTATTAGTAATGTGTGGTTGTAGAGGTATATACAGTTCTCCACACAAGGTAATAAATTTCTGCACATATATTGCACGTTGATCATTTGAGTTGGACATACAGTATTGTAATATGTGTTGTTGCAGGGTTGGCCTGAATAAGCATTTATTTGCAGGGCTGTGAAGCAATTTATTTGTAATAATGTGTGGTTATATTATGGTAATTTAAAACTTATCCAGGACTTAATATATTTTGTCTGCATTTGAATGACCTAAAAAAATTGAACACAGAAACAGAAATTTCACTGTTTATTAAGGGGGTATGAGGGTGTGAAGGAATGGAGCTCTGGAAACTTAGGTCAGAAAACAAGGGCAATGCCATTAAGAAGATTTTGTTTTTCATTCATCAGAAGAAAGAAAGCAGGTCAAAAAATGTTCATTCAAGTCCGTGAACTGGTGTTCCTTAATTGCAACCTTATAAAATGCAATCAGTTGGCACACACAAGCATGCCAGAATATCTGGCTGTGAATACTGGGGAAGCGAACATTCTGACCTTACACAGCCAAGGTCTCATTGAAAAATGGTTTACTCAGTAGCGTAGTGAGGGGAGAGGCAATAAGGGGAAGACAGCCCCCCAATGGCAAAATTCTCTTTGAAAAAGGGCATTTTCTGGTGTCAAAAAGGGTATGGACCCCAACATTCTCTTGCTCAACTCCCCTTTGCCTCCTGGTCTTACCAACCTGGGTATGCTACTAGACTTACTTTGCAGACAGGACACCAGCCATAATCTTTGAGTCTCCCTATATTAAGATCCCTCCAAGATGTTGGAAAACCTACATAGGCTAACTAGTAAACTGGATTTCTTGCCCTTGTACTTGACCAACAGAATCAATCAAATCATGTAATATTCTGTACAGAATATCTGTTGTTTCGCACAGTTCAAATACTCGATTGCAGCTCAGTCTTTTTTTTTGACATCCATAACTTTTTGCAGGTCAAGCCACTAGTTTAATACATGTTTTTTTCAAATGGACTAGGAATGTGCTGCTTGCAGCCTGCACATGTAGCTAATACGCAGAAATGCAGAAAGGCATTGAAAGGGTATTTCCAAAACTTTACTAGCTTTCCTTACTTTTATCTTTTATATATTGTTTGTTGAGCACACAGGATGCAATAAAATTTATGTAAAAAGGGGACTGACTTCTTAAAATACAGACCTTTAGAAACCATTGGTGGATACAATACAGACCTTTAGAAACCAAATGGGGGGGGGGGGGGAGTGACAAGACATTTTTTTATTTTCACGTATTGACTCATAGTATCAATGATTGACACTTTAAGTTAAGCCTTGCTTAGTCATGCTGTGAACACGTTCTTACTACTCTTACGCTGAATACGTAACATGGCCTAGTATTATATCCTGACCGTATAAGTTGTTTTATTATGTTCGTTCAACCATAGTTTATCTTTCAAGATAATCTCCGTGGAATTCTAATAGGGGGTGTGACACTAACTTTGGTGCCACACCCTTCAGGTCACTGGTAAATTATGGAAACGCCCATTTCTAAAATTTCGTTTTTAACTTCAAGGTAAAGACGATAAGAAGCAGTGGCGTAGCCAGGTTTGGAAGATTGGAGGAAGCACTACGTGCAAAAACTGATTCTCCACAGTTTTAATCAAATATCTAAAAATAACAAACAGGATTCAAATGTTTTAAACTAATTCCGTTCTCCTTGGAGCAAAATCCTTGACAAGCATTTCAGAATCTAATTTTTTTTAAGGATTGAAGCGCTTTAGCATTTTAGTTTCTATTTTATTGGGATTGTCTAAAGAACGTGAAAGACTTTTCTATTTATATCCTATAACATGGGATAAATTGTTGAACATTCTGTAGAGTTATAAAGGAGGGTCCCTGTGCGAGCGAAGCGAGCAGAAAATTTTTGCGACGACGCCCTTCAGATTAGCTTGAGATACATTTCAGAATATTTCTTACAGTCGTTTGCAGTCTTTGAAAACGTTTTAATATTGTCTGAAATATAAAGTCTCCCTTTATGGTACTAATTCTATTGCAGAGTTGTCCTTTTCTCAGACACCGACTTTCTGAGCGGCCGCTCCCCTTGCCTACCCCCGCTACGCTACTGATAAGAAGATAAATACTGATAGCAAGGAGACAAAAGTTAAAGTAAAGTAAAATCTTGGCGTTAATTTGTTACTGCTGACTACCAAAAAATGGTTTTTACCGAATGGAACCACATTTATCGAAGGAGACATTTATCGCACCCCCTACACCCCCCCGCTAAGTCCGTCCCTGCCAATGTGCTTCGTTTATGAACTTTATGTATATCATGATAGTCATAATCGCAAAATGTTGTTAAGAATCTGACGTAGATTCCGCGAACAGTATTTGTTTATCTGGTTGTGTTTCCCGCGAATATTCCACCATTTAAACTTCTGACTTCTGATAACAAGAAAAAACAAAGAATACAAGGTCTCTTCGAAAGCCTTTGCTTTATTTACCGTGCATGATTTTCAAAATCATTGTTCTGGCGTTCCCCGCACAGAAAAAATACTTTATAGCCTGGCTGCCCAGATAATGTCCTAAGTGCTATTGTAGTTCAAATACAAGTACCTACAGTATTCCTAAACATTCGCTGTGGAATTGATCTTCAAATGCATTTTTTCGTTGAGATGTGGTTAAGTCAGCTTACTTATATTTCCTGTGTTTTCATTTATTGGCTTTGTATTGTCTATGTCACTTGCTTTGGTCACAAAGATGACTGGAAATGTATAATTAATAAGGCATTTCTTCCTCAAAATTTACCGTTTAGCACGAGCGATCAATGGCTCGCATGGTTGGGTTTGGGCGAGTGCTGACGCGATCGCGAGTGATCGCTCGCGTCAAACGAAAAGGCCTGATCTATATAAAGTTTGCTTGGTCTCTTTTTGATGAGGTCTCCCTACACTACCCTTGTCCAGCCTACTGGCACTAAAACTTAACATACTACCCAATGTTTCTATCCAAAGACCTTGCAGCTCCTTATTTCAGGTTCTTTAAAATCAGCATGTCTATAAGGTTCTGCTCTTCCGAAGTCTTTGCAGAAACATTCTGAATTCAAGACTGTATGCTCTTGAATTCACTGTATGATTTAAAATCCTGATGGAAATAAGTTTAACAAAGACATGGCATTGAAATTTCTTCCTGTCTCTTGTCTCTTGGGTGTGATATGTGACCATTAATTCTTCCAGATACTTGGTGTCTTTATTCTAACGATTACTGCTGTTGATCTGGTGAAGCAACATGAAACGTTTCAACATCATGTCAATAAAGCTGGTTCTAATGATACGGAAAGGGCAGGAAAAAATGTTTCAAAAGATGAAAGCTTTCAGGCATCAAGTATAATTAACTTTGCTTTGCAAGTTGTGGAAATAGCCATTGCTGTATCTTTGATTGTTGTTGTTTTAAAAAACAATGCAAAATACCGAAAAGTTTTGTTTGTTTGGATGGGATGGACTTTTGGGTCAGCTATTATGTTGGTCGTCACAACCATTTTGCGGTCAGTCAATGCTAAATATCATGGATTGAAATCTGTATGATGCTGCTCATTGCCTGCTTCCAGGTATTCTGCATTTGGCTAGTTATGTCATATTATAGGCTGCTGGCTGTCAATGCTGATGCTGGGTATGATGCATTTTCAATTGGAAAAAATAAGGATGATGAAATGTATGACACTGGGGAGGAGAGACTTGGGAAAACAGTTTAGTAATTTTAGATTTTTGAAACCATAAAATGTACTATTGGCTCTTTCCACCCAGGCTCAACAACTGCACACCAATTAATTTCTTACACTTTTTTCATTCCTTTAGTATTTGATAGAATGCATAAGATGTGGTTTTTCAATTGATTAACTCAATTATTTTGAGATGTAAATATCCATGAAATGTAGTATTTTCAGACATTTATATTCTTTGCTATTAAAAGTACTCTATTATAACTACACAAAAGCTTTCTTCTATAGCCCAAGCCCATCAAACCTTGAAGTTATACATACCTTAAAATGTTTTAAATTGCTTGAAAGTAAGTGAAATTGGAAATTTTCAAGATTAAGACATTCAAATAATAAGAGATAAAGCTCAAATCCTGGCCTTCTTTGAGTGGCAAATCTATGTTGGGGTTGTTGTCAATTCAATGGTTACAGCAGTCTAGAAGTCTATTACCATAGGCTTACCAACGAAAATAGAAATTTGTGAAAATATACCAAGATAGAATTTTGAACAAGTCACAGATTCGGTCCAAGAATCAATGTTTGGCGGGTTCAATACAGTTCGAAAGTTTTGTGGGGAAACTTGGGGCATTCGGTAAATTTTACAGTCTAGTTTGGTTTCAAAAAGTCACAATCCAGGAATGACAACTTTGAAGCTAGGAATCACTTGACTTTGACAGTTCCGGTACAGGCATCTTATTAGGCTTTCCCAATTGTTTTTCATATCAATTTATTGATTTTTATCCTCGAAAAAAATATATATTATGCACACACTGATATATTCATGCAATGCTTTCAAACATTTGCAATAAACAAACACAAATATAATATATCTGCTGTTTTGCATAGGTCGTCCAAGTCGTCTGTATAATAACGAGTTGTAGCTTCTGTATTGAATGATTCGATTTTATCCTTTTGTTTACATCGCTGTGTTAATACTGTGTCTTTCACGATCCCTACTCTGCATGGACAATAAATAGGGAGATATTTATTTTGTTGTGTTTTCGTTTTCAGTTATAAAACGTGATGTAAGTGAATTAGTCAACCATAGTCTTAAGAGGTATTTCAAAAGTTGAGTCACCTGTAACCAAATACACACTTTTTTATAAGAACATTGTCTATACGAGTAATAAGGCTCAAAATCGCTGAAATTTAAGTATAGTTTAAGAATAATGCAATGCTCAGGATTCTTCAAGAATTAAATTTTCTGTTTATTTAAGCTTTTTGGAATACAAAACAAATGCGAGCTTCGCGCTAGTGCTTTAAAGGGCATATGTCGCATTAGCAGTTGGCTAATAAAACAAAAGCGTTTGAAGTGGAATTCCATTGTTTCGTGACTTTTCATTGCTTCTTCTTGAATTTTTACTGCCGTAAAAATTCATCCTCGATTCCATGCTTTGTACTAAACCAAAGAAACAATTGTATTGCATTAGCAAATCGAGTTAACGACACATGCCCTTTAAAATAGACGTATCCGCTTTTGAGTGGCTGGCGACTCTTTTGCTCTTCGGTAGTGTAGTCCACCGGGACTCTTTTGAAGTTTTCCTGGTGGCCCCTAGAAATCATACAAATATGGGCCCCTATAAATCCTAGATTTTCTGCAGATATAGCACTCCAGAGGAAAAAATCGAAGACAATTTCAAGTTTCCTGTTTTGTCTGTTAAACGTCAAAAAGCAGTAAATGGCCCGGCGACTGCCTCTCTCTTATTTTGTGCCATCATAGTGCCATGCATCGGACTTTCTTTGATGTCTATTTCCTTCGCAATTCCCCTGCATAAAAACCTTTGCCCATGCATCTCTCCTCAGTTGGTGGCAAAAGAATACCAGCTTCCTTCTCAAAGCAATTTCCATCAATCTCTCCGGTGTTTTCTGCGCCAGGACATATTGATTGCTTCTGCGATCTTGCCAAGTTATGCCGAGCATCCAACGTCAACGTTACACTTCAAAGGCATTAATGCGTTTCCTTATCTTATTCGCCACAGTTTTCACAACCGAAAGCTCGTCACCAATGTTTTCTTTAGCCTTGTCTTGCTGTTTAACTTTAGTTTCCTCGCTTTCCAGACCTTTTTCATCTTGGCTAAGGCACTTGTTGCTGCTCCAGTTCTTCTTTTGACTTCAGTTTCGCTCATCGTGTTCACTGTCATAGTCACCCCTCAAGTATTTGAATTCTTCGACTTGGTCCTAGGTGTCATCTCTCACCTTGATTGAGACCTTTTCAGTGATGTTTTTTCTGTACTGCTGCTGTGCCGCCTGTTATTTTCAGTACTTATCTCCATTCCAAATCTGCCTGCTGTTGTGTCGAGCCTGGATGTTACTTCTTCAAGTTCTTTCGCATTCTTTGCAATCAAGTGGATGTCACCAGCAAAACGGAGGTTGTTGACCGTCAGTCCACCCCACCTGACGCCTGTCCCCTAAAGATTACCCTGGGTACCAGACTCACTATATATGAAATAAAATAGAGAGTCTGGTCTAGTGCGCCCCATTCTCGTTCTGGTGTGCTGATATTAACCAATCAGGAGCGAGTGTACAGATTTCTGTACGTTCAAAGGTCACAGCGAAACAATAAACTTAGCTCTGGTATAAAACATTGAACAGAACAGAACATAAATAAATGCTAGCGACCGTAACGATTGAGTTTTAAGATGCTGTTAAAACTGTACTCAAAGAATATTTTCTGTACGCATGTTGTGGAACTGAACACAGAACAGCATTGAGAGCCTTGTTTGTAGAGAGTAGAGACACCTTCACCATATTGCCAACTGGCTTTGGAAAGTCTCTGATATTCCAGGCTGTGCATCTCGTTGCAAAGAAATTAGGCCTTGTAGTGAAATGCAGTAGATAGGAAACACCGCAAGGTGCCAAGAACAAACAACAACAAAAACAGTAAATCAGTTATAGCTAATATTTCGCCCGGCATACGGGGCTTCGCTTGTCATATTGCCCATATTTGCTGTGGTGACCTTCCAACGTGATGATTCTAACCGCCGCGGTGTCCAAGCGCGCTGCCTTCACAGTTCGGAAGTAGACGTTGAAAGTACGCACAATTTATGAGGAAAATTACAAAAGACTATGATTAACAATTTGATAATGATTAACATTTAATAATGGTTAACATTTAATAACTGCATTGTGCTAACTTTGATTTCATGCTTCGCACATGTTTTTTGCTGCCAAATGGCGTTTTAAACCTGATTTGATTGTTATCTTGAGGCAGAAAAGTCTATTACCACTGTATTAAAAATGTCGACTTTAAAGAACTAAATAAAACACATTTGCTTTAAGATTTCTCAAAACTCCTCTGACTACTGAGTTTCTTTATAATTTATCTGACAGTCTTGTTTCACAGGCCTAGTCTGTTAAATAGACTTCAGTTCTTTCAAGTAAGTTCACCAGAACGAAAATGGGGCGCACTAGACCAGACTCTCTATTATTTTATATAGTGAGTCTGGTACCCAGGGTACCTAAAGATACGCCAAAAGCATACCCTGTCCTATGAAAATTCTGCCAAAAATATATTATGATTATGCCAAAATCAGCTCAATCCAATGATATTTAATGCTAGAAAATTTAACGATAGCATTATCTTTTTAAGAAAACTCACAAAGCAGAGGAAGTTGTTTTTACACATAATTTCTTGTTTGTAAACTTCATTATTTTTGATACCCTGCCCCAGAACTTTTGTTGCGATTCTTAATACCGCATCCTATAATTAAAGTTACTGTGAAAATATGGGGTCTGTTTCAAATAAAATTAGAAGGTTTCTCATGTTAAATATTATCTTTGAACGTTGTGCCTAAAGAGAGGGAGCGCATCCGTAGGGAAACACTTATAGCCTCGATTCTATACTTTTCAGAAAGCGAATACGGCGGGAATATACTATAATGCATTGCACGAGGCATGACCAGTGGATAGGCTTGCAGTTCCATTCCTTCATTCGTTATTCATCTACGTACAATCTTAGATGTGTCTATGTACAACAGAATTAAGACTAAACTCTGTCGAGGCGCCTAGAATGCTGCTGTACTAGAAATGCAAGGTAATGTTTCGCAAGTGATGGCACGAGCGCAAGCAAGACAAGAACGAACACAGTATCGTTATATCAACACACCCGTGTACATCAAGAAAGTCTCGGCAATATGGCTACGGTATGTTGCAAACCTCATTTGTATCCTCAACAATATAGCCAATTATGCATTTGTATGTATGATGTATTTCTAGCAAACTGCGATTCCTCAACAACAAGGTCGGCCCAGAATGGAATTCTAGGTCTAGGAGGGCGAGTTCCCATGCAAGGAGACTCATGCTTTTTATCACATTTTGACCCGTTCTTACCTTACAAAGTTTTCAAATGCCTTCTTTTCAAATCAATTTTTAATGAACCGAATCGAATAAAAAGTTTTATTGGATCTTCTTATCTTTGTTATTTAGTCAGATATTTGACACTAGGGCTAGGCACGGCGCCACTGGAGGCTGAAGCCTCCCCACTCTTTCAAAGTTGAAAATGTTTGACCATCTTTTTTTAATTCTTGAAAGCAGAGAATGAATTAACAAGAGAATAAACTGTTTATATACTGCTTGATTTCATTTGCTCTATTTACTAAAATATTTAGGTATATCTTTCTATTATTTGTCTATTATTTGCATCAATTCAGTAGATAACTTTCTGTTTCATTGCAATATTTGCATTTTGGATATGTAAACATGGCTTACTGAAAATACTAGAGATAAAGAAGATGCAAATTTCTGTTCAGGAAGTAAAATTCTCTCAATTCAATACAACACCCTCTTGTTATTCACATTGATGTGCACTCTTAACCAAAGGTCACCATTTCTTTTTTCCCCAAGATCTGTCATTTGAGTTTTAGCATGACTCCCATTTGGAAAATCCTCCAATATTTTCCAAAAATAAATAATCAATGTTTCTTTGAGAATGGTTAAATAGTCTTTTCTGAGCGCATAGTCATTTGTTAAAATTGAGTCTGGGAGATGCATCATAAAAAAGAGGACTTTTGCTAAAGGTGTACTGGGTTTTAGGGGCATGTGAGCACCGCAAAGGAGTGTGCTTTCTTCAGCACACTATGCATGAATGAGTTTACAAGTTCAAAATGCTAAGGAAAAGATTGATGGAATAATTGTGAGTGGTACAATGTTGATAAACAGAAGATTTCCCTTATAAGATATAAAGGCTTCTTTGTTGGTTGACAGCGAGCCTTCAAGGGTTGATACCTGGTTTTTTGGATAATCTTTTGTTTCAAAATAATCAGATTTTGTTTCAAAATTTTGATCAGATCCTCAGAATATGGTGAGAATGTTCCCTCTATGTTTCTGCTATTATTTTCCATGGTATCATGTACATGCATTGTCATTAAAGTCTTGTTTTAGTGATCTCAAAGTCGAAGGATCTACCTGATCTCAGTCTGAACAAAATATCTTATTACAGTAGATTTGGTTAAAGTTATACAAAATTTTGCTTGAGATCTTGTCACTGAGAAGGCAGTGTAACTGTAAACTGAACCAAATTTAATAGTTTTGTATATTTGGGTCTGTCCTTTTAAGCTACTGTAACCAGTAGTATGACTTAAAGCAGAGTGACTACAAGCTGAATGACTATAAGTGGATCTGACTGTTCTTGAAAAGGAAACCAAGCTTAATATTTCATGCCTGTTAAAAGTACTTGTATGTTTACCTTCTAACACGTTTAACCTGTACGAAGGACGCATCAATACAAAAAGACATCTTGGCTGTAAAATGCATGGTTCCCATCATGGTACTATCTGATCTGCCTTAAACAATTCTTAATAATTTAGATGCTTGAGATATTCTATTCTACCTTGTTGTTTTCAGCATCCCTGTTGTTTTTTATCTCAATTCCATTTTCTGATGCTGGGAACTCCAGATCAATACAAGAAATGGGCAATTGTGTTAAAGCTTAATATCCAGGATTATTGTTAAGTTTTACCCTTATGTGGTTTGAGTGATGGATAATTTTGTATAAAGGGAGTTGTAAATATTATGAGGAAAGAGAGATACCAACAGAGTGGCTAAGTAAAGTCAAGTATCATTAATATTAGGGTAACACAACACAATGATGTTCTCATTAGATTGAGTTTCCTCTTCATGGACAGATGGTTGCTTGAAAGATGCTGGTTTGATGGCGGGTTTGGCATGACGAGTTGTTGTGGATTAAAGATTTTTTGTTAGATTTGGTGTGTATGTGAGGTCTTGTGTCTTAGAACCAGCAAATGTGAAATAGCCAAATGTGGTTTCATCTAGTCTTGATAACATTTCAAGTAAAACAATTTTAAGTCACCCAAATTTTCAACTTAACAGGAAATGTACTTAGCAGATACGTCTTTTTTGGCAACTATGAAATTTTGTCGATACAGACTGAGAAGATTTATGTTTGTATTGTTTTCTTTTGATCTGTCAGTATCTGGTAGTCTTTTTGTTCAAATTCAAACAAACTTAATAAAAAGATAATCTTTCTATCATGAACAGCTCTCTTTAAGCATTGCCGTAATCCAAATGATATTAGTTTCTGGTATTTTTTGTTAGTTTCAAAAGTGTAAAATTTCTGATAGCTAGACTATTAAAGCATAGATGAAGTGTCTTGTTCCTATCTGTATTGTTTGCTTTGCTTCCATCAACTTGTTAAGGATCGCAGTTTGTTCATACTTCATCCCTCAGTAATCATTAATGTTTCATTAAAAGTTAAGAGTATCCTTGAATTTCGAATTCATTGAACTTTAATACTGTAAAAGTTCTATTAAGCCCTGTCGTTTTTCAATTTTCTAGACTTAACAGAGAAGTATTACAGCCACAAAATATCGTCATCTTTTTGCAATAGGTTGTGTTTTGAACTGGGCAAAACGTCTAACTTAAGTATGTGACGAGTTTCTCTGGGATGCAAACTAAGCGAGCAAAAGTATTGCATAGGCTGAAGCAGAAATGGTGTCACGGTTGCAATTTTTTTAGCTAGCCAAAATCCATAGAGCTACAGTAAATTATCTAAAAGTTTTAAGATGACCATTTTGTTGGGAAATAATAAAGAATATATCAAGGTTTAATAGCAAATAGCTTATGCAAGAACTTTCTACATTCATGCCTATTTTTAACAATTTCAACACTTACTGAACTACGAAAGCTATGATGATAGTAGCATCCTTGAAACTTTTGCAATTAAAAGTTATTCTTTGTATAACCTTGCCAGATCTCATTAAGATGTGTTCGGAGAAACTAAATTCATGCTTGGGTGCCAAGACTGTTCATTTCACTTTCTGTTTTTAGAGATTATGCCAAATGTCTTCGTCGGAAATTTTTGGTGCTGAAACTTGCCTATTCGTGAAGAGTGTTCCGTGGAATTCAGAATGGGAAAAGAATCCAGTCGATAAACTAGGTAAACAATATTCTACACTTTCTTTTCCCAACCATTGCGATGTTGTTTTAGGAACATTATTTCATCTCTTCATTTAATGAAAATCCAGTTGGATGCATCATATTGCCAGTGTCATGGTTTTATATGAACTGAGCGTTATACTGCTAATGCCATAAATTTCTGGCGATCTTTAACACTTTGCTATAGAAACTGTATTTCTAAGAACTAGATGTTTTCTTTTAGTCTGTAGTATCGTGTTTATTTTTTATTATAAGCCGCTCTTGTTTATAAGCCACCCAAGATTGTAAGCCGCAGCCCATTAGGTCGACAAAGAAATGTGAGCTACCCTTTGTTATAAGGGGCGCCCACGAAGCAACGTGAACTGCTTTGAAAAATACTTGCTTTGAAATGATGTACGCAAAAAACTGGTAAAAAGTGATTGTATACTTAAACCAAAAGATAACATTGGAAATTCAACCAACAAAAATATAGTCCAGCATGGGGTCATCAATAGCGCCAAATGGTGTTGTCAATGTGAATTGAGGCTTTTGAGAGAATTAATTTGTGAAAATTGACCATTCTTTAATTTTTTTGCGGGGTGACAATTTTTTTAATAAAAGGCTAAGTTCCTTTTTTAGAAATATAGACCTGAACTTTATCAGAAACTCCTCAAACGCTGTTTCGAATGTAATTTAAGGCCTTTTAGGTCGCCTTGCGGGAAAAGAAAATTTTCTTATTTTTTGAGTTTTTTTGCATACTCGGGGTCATGGATTTTTTGAAAAACGACTAGGTTCTTTTTTGAGAGTTACGGGCCTCAAATTCATCAGAAACTTCACAAATGGTGTTGCGGACGTATTTTCAAGCTTTTTAGGTTATTTCGACTATAAAAAAAGTTTTTTATAGTTTTCTCATTTTTAGAGTTTTTTTGCATACCTGGGGTCATGGATTTTTTGAAAAAGGACTAAGTTCTCTTTTAAGAGTTACGGGCCTCAAATTCATCAGAAACTCCACAAATGGTGTTGCGTACGTATTTTCAAGCTTTTTAGGTTGTTTGGAACCAAAAATATATTTTGTATAAATTTCTAAATTTTGAGTTTTTTTGCATATCCGGGGTCATGGATTTTTTGTGAAATGACTAAGTTCTTTTTTTAGAGTTACGGGCCTGAAATTCATCGGAAACTCCACAAATAGTGTTGCATATGTATTTTCAAGCTTCTTAGGTTGTTTCGACTATAAAAAAAGTCTTTTATAGTTTTCTCATTTTTGATTTTTTTGCATACCCAGGGCCATGGATTTTTGAAAAAGGACAAGGTTTTTTTTTGAGAGTGACGGGCCTCAAATTCATCGGAAACTTCACAAATGGTGTTGCGGACGTATTTTCAAGCTCTTTAGGTTGTTTCGACTATAAAAAAAGTTTTTATAGTTTTCTCATTTTTAGAGTTTTTTTGCCTACCCGGGGTCATGGATTTTTTGAAAAAGGACTAAGTTCTCTTTTAAGAGTTACGGGCCTCAAATTCATCAGAAACTCCACAAATGGTGTTGCGTACGTATTTTCAAGCTTTTTAGGTTGTTTCGAACCAAAAATATATTTTGTATAATTTTCTAAATTTTGAGTTTTTTTGGATATCCGGGGTCATGGATTTTTTGAGAAATGACCAAGTTCTTTTTTTAGAGTTACGGGCCTGAAATTCATCGGAAACTCCACAAATAGTGTTGTGTATGTATTTTCAAGCTTTTTCTGTTGTTTCGACAATAAAAAAATTTTTATATACGTATTTTTCTCATTTTTTGAGTTTTTTTGCATATCCGGGGTCATGGATTTTTTGAAAAAGGACTAAGTTCTCTTTTAAGAGTTACGGGCCTCAAATTCATCGGAAACTTCACAAATGGTGTTGCGGACGTATTTTCAAGGTCTTTAGGTTGTTTTGACTATAAAAAAAGTTTTTTCTAGTTTTCTCATTTTTAGAGTTTTTTTGCATACCCGGGGTCATGGATTTTTTGAAAAATGACTAGGTTCTTTTTTTGAGAGTTACGGGCCTCAAATTCATCGTAAACTCCACAAATGGTGTTGCGTACGTATTTTCAATCTTTTTAGGTTGTTTCGAGCCAAAAAAATATTTTGTTTAAATTTCTAAATTTTGAGTTTTTTTTGCATACCCGATTTCATAGATTTTTTGTGAAGTGACTAAGTTCTTTTTTTAGAGTTACGGGCTTTAAATTCATCGGAAACTACACAAATAGTGTTGCGTATGTATTTTCAAGCTTTTTAGGTTGTTTCGACTATAAAAATATTTTTTTATAGTTTTCTCATTTTTTGAGTTTTTTTGCATATCCGGGGTCATGGATTTTTTGAAAAATGACTACGCTCTTTTTTAGAGTTACGGGCCTTAAGTTCATCGGGAACTAGAAATAAATGGTGTTGCGGACTTACTTTGAAGCTTTTTCGGTTGTTTCGACTATAAAAAAATTTTTGTATAATTTTCTCATTTTTTGAGTTTTTTTGCATATCCGGGGTCATGGATTTTTTGAAAAATGACTAGGCTCTACTTTTGAAGTTACGGGCCTCAAATTCAT